AGCACCTCCAGGACCATATCGGGTAGATCGCTTTGCCGACATCGCTGTGCCAGGGCGTAGAACGGCTCCACTTCCTCCTCCACGAGGGAGGGCTGGACGGAGGGCGGGACGGAGGGCGGGGCGGAAAGGGTACTCCCGTCGCCGCCTTGCTCGAAGCGGAGGGTGTCGACGAGGGATTGCAGCAAAGACATGGCTTCGACGCGACCTAGTCGTGGTGGTGAGGAGGCTTTAGCCGGCGGCGACACGGGCTCTGATCCTGCAAGCTGCGACTGCGGCGTCTGAGGGGCCAGCGAAGGGGCAGAGGCAGCCATCAACACCAGCTTGGGAATAGAGGGACGGGAAGGTGCGTGCAACAGCATCTGTGGCTGACTAATTTCAAGTGGAAGGAGGCGCATCGCGTTCTTTGAGAAGAGCTGGGACGGGGAGGCAGGCAGTGGGCAGTGCGAGGTCATGAATGCTGGTGTTGACGGCAGGGACCAAATCAGGAGCTGCAGACCCATGACGACAAGAGGACAAGGCCCTCGTCTTCTCCTTTTGTTGCTCAACCGGCTGGTCATTTTTCTGTCGTGACTTCCTCTGATGATTTTAACCTCGTGCCGCAGCATACCGAGTGGCGAATGTCTTTGTTCCACTGATAGCTGATGATGCAGCCCCCGCACACGAAAAGCCTGTACCCCCGCCAACGCCACAGCTCTGCAGGAATTAAAAAAAATCGCGCGAAATTAGATACAGGGGGGAGATCCGTACTGGGAAACACCGTCTTGAGGCTGGGATGGTTTTACTTGCAACAAATATGACGCTCGCTTGGGAGGTCAAAATCCGGGTATGCGCTCAAAAAGGAATACGGACGCAAAAGGAGAAAAGAATAAAATAAACCCAAGATAGAAAGAACAGGGAGGATGGGTACAACATTTTCTCCTTCTTTTGATTGTATGTAATCCTTAGAGATACAGCATGTGGGAGGCCTTTTGAGGGGAAAAAAAAGGTCTTGCTTTTTATTTGTGCTTCTTCCAAGTTTTTCTTTCTTTTAGTGTCTGACTGATTTTTGCTGCTCATATTGACGTCCCTTCAGTGATTTTGAATGTTATTTCCATAGCATCGAAATGATAAAATTTATCCGGGAATGCCTTTCTCACATTCGGTCCTTTGGCCGTAATTAGGAGAAAGTTGAGTAATCGACCAACCTTACGTGATCGGGACCCTTGATATTCAGTAAAGAGCGGCATACTATAGGAGATAATCGATGGGCTTTGTATCACCAAGAAGAGTTTTCGATGTTCTCCTCCAGCAAAGATGATAAATTCGGTTTGTACATCGTTACTTACACGTTGCGTTGCATTACTTTCTCTGCCGACAACTGAGCGGGCATCGAGAGCGATAAATGCGACACAACATTTGAGTTGAAAATTGACTTGTGTTCGCCTCCAGCCCGATGAGCATTACTTTCCCGAAATCCTTCTTTCGTCTCTTCTTTTTCTTCTTCTCCCTCACCATACCCCTGCTCTTTTCGCTTCGCTTCGAGGACTTGCCGTACAACCCAATACCTCCGCAGACTCAGGCCGCAATACCCCAAACACCCAGCACAGCACAAAACGCACAAGACTAACACAGCAATGACTGCTGCAAATGGGATAATCGTGACATTACATACCTGGTGGGCCCCGTCATCTCCCGCCTTTGTGTACGCGGTGGAGCAAAAACTTGCGTCCTTCACACAGGAAGCCGCCCCAATGTAATGCTTGTGTTTTGCAGGCGGGGCACAGACACCGCAACCCTGATCAAAACAGGCATGACACAAGCTTCTATAATTCTGCAATCCACCCTGTTGTATAGGGCGGTAAGAAGAAACAGAAGGTAATTGGGGAATTGAAGAAGATGGAACGTGGTAGGAGAGATCTCCCATTAGAGTTCGAGGCAGATCACGTGAGTAAATTCATCGAGCTCAATGTAGATGATTAAGTAAAAGTCAAGAATGCAAGGTTTTCATCAATTCAGAGGTCAAGTACATCATGCATGAGTCTTATATGGGAGACTTGCATGGATCAGGTGAAAGAGAAGACACATGGCGGAAACCAGAATGAGACGTACAAATGTTCTGTTGAAACCCAAACAGATGCCTTCCAGATCTTGTGCACGCGCCAATGTAATCCATAGAGTGCAGAAGGTCAGCACCAAAAGTCTTGAATATGCATTTGTTGTCATTTCCTGCACTACCTGAGCCGGTAGAGGCGCCTCCGCAGAGGCTGGCTCCTATTTGTGTGACAAGACAGCATTCAACAGCATTTCAGTACTCCTTCAGTTAAAATTTAGGTATCAATTCACAAACTTTCTCAAAAAATCCTGGGCTGCTGTCAATTTTGGAATCGTCCCCTTACTGCGGAAGGACAGAAGCGGTCCGTTAAGCAGATCAGACAGAAGATGGAAACTCCTTTTAGACATTGCCGGTGAACGTGTCAAAACGCGCGTTGATAGAAGCGCTGTGTTCTCAGTTTGCGTGCATATATTTCATGACTCGGTGATCCACGGGGGTCGCTCATACACTCCATGCATGTTAAAAAATGATATTGTGCGCTTAAGAGACAAAGAACAAAACTTCAACTGTGGCGCCAGAGCTTCGATATGGGCCGATACCCAACTACGGGACTGCATAGTTTTCAATACATGCGAAACATATGATCTATGATGAGGTTCTAAAGTAACATTTTATATTCACAATTTGACATTTAAAGGCTGAGAAAGGAAGGAAAGCCCCCGTTCTCCTTTGATTGCTTATTGTCAGTATTCTTTTTCCGATCTGAGGCGTCTTATCCTCTCTGTAAACCACGGGCCATGCTCCCCGCCCTCTCAACACTTTTCGGCGACAAGATAGCTTAGATTTTTTGCATGTCTCGCTCCTCATAGGAGCAAGCACTGACTGCCTTTCACACCCTTTTTCCCCCCTATAAAAGCTTGCGGTGTGCGAGCACAATGTGTCGGTTTTTGGGTCAAGGACTTCCTCCCTTCCCGACAACTCGTATTCACAGAGCCATTGCCTCCCCTTCCTGCCTCCCTTTTAAGCCTTAAAAAAGACCAACTCCCAAGTGTTCAATTCCTCCCGGCCGCTAGAACCCAAGGCGATAGAAAATTTAAGAGAAATTAATTCTTGAAAAAGACAAGCTTGATCGTCAATGCCAGAGCTAGTTGCACCGCCCTGCAAGAGGGGATGGGAGACGCCATGATGGAGAAGATTGCAGGCGGGAACATATCAAAGAGCAGAGAATGAGAGCGTGTGAGAGAAGGTATGCCATCCATGCGAAATGTCCGTGAGGTCCGGTCGCCTCCTCCCCCACCCCCGCCCTCTCCTTTCTCCCCACTCCCTTGCTGACCCGATCGATGCCAGAAAGGGCATGGCATGTTGCGGGGCCTTTTCCATCACCACAGGGCCAAGAGCTTTGAGAAGAAAGACGACCGAGGCTGCGGCTGCCGCTATCTCCGAGAGCCAGGGGAAAGCAGGGGCGGGAATAAAGTTGAGGAGCTGAAGGAGGGATGAGGGAAAGAGGAAGGAGGAGAGGGAAGAGGGTGAATGGGGAAAGGTTCGACGCTCCCTGACCCGAGATGGGGAATGAAAAGGACGGGAAGGGAGCGGGAAAAGGACCCGGAGGGTTCCCTGGGAGAAGAGATCCTCACCGTGCAGGGGACGAAGGCCACCAGCGAGTACCCGTAGATAGCGACGGTTTGAATCAGCGGGAGGGGAAGTTGCATGTAGCGCAGCGCCGCCCAAATAAGCAAGGGGATGATCGCCTGAGGGAGGGAGAAAAAAAGGACAAATGAGCGGGGAGCAGCACCAAGGTGCACCGCCGTCTATCCCTTGGGCTCCCCACAAGGAGACAGCGGGCCCTGTTCCCGTGCCACGGCTCGCAAGGTCCTCGCCGCTCACCGCAAAGCCGTAGATGGTCGTGGCGCACGTTACCACGGCTGCGAAGTCGTACGTCCTGAGGAGGGAGGGAGGGAGGGAG